TATCTAAAGAGGTCATTTGGGTATAAGCCCAAAAACAAAACTATGAGGGCTAGAGCCCAAAGATATGTTTTACGGTATTGAAATGTGATGTACTACACAGATATTTAAATATATTAATAATTGTATAATAAAAATAAAAGTAATTTATATTTTTATTGTGAAATGATTTATGATGAATATGAAACAATAATAAATAACTGACAAAGTAATAATTAACTCAAGTATTGCTTGTATTTTAAACTAACTTTGCAGAAAAAGATATTTTTAATTTTATTTTAAAAACTATAATAAATAACTAATAAAGTAATAATTAACTCAAATGTTGCTCGTGTTTTTTTAGTACAATAAAAGAGGCCGAGGGCCTAGGAAATGTTTAACGAGAATTTGACGGGGGGCAAGACATCCCAATAAGATCGTGGTCAAGCCACACACCCAGTCCTGCCGGCGGAGTATCTACTCGCTGCAACCCGAGGGGAATTGAAGACACTACGCTCGCCATATGGTCAGCCGCAAAATTAGCCTCCCGATGAAAGTGTCGGATCTAGGTGGTCCAATCCCGTTGAATCAATCTGCGAATAGCCATAACAATCGAGGCATGAGGCCCATCCACATCCTCGATCCCAAGGACCAACTTTGTCATGACTATCAACTTCGGCTAACACTCGACGAATCCCACGGTCCCAAGCAAGTTGCAAACCTTGGAAAAGACCCCGAAGTTTGGCACCAGTGATAGTACAAGCGCCAATATTCATGAGGAAACCCCTAACCCATCTCCCCGTTTCATCCCGAATTAATCCGCCAGGTTGCTCGTATTTTAAACTCACTTTGCAGAAAAAGATATTTTTAATTTTATTTTAAAAACTATATATGTATAAACCGATATTATTTACAACTTCATATATTTGATTTATTTTTTTTAAATAAAAAATCTTTATTGTACTGTGATTATATATATATATATTTATAGAGTTAATGTCTATGATTATTAATTTTCAAATATTTTAAATTCATATAATTAATAATTTAGAATTCACGTAGAAATATATTATTTTCTAACTTTATGAAATACAAAAGTATTTTATTATATTTAATTATGATATTCTTTTATATTTACTACTTCAAATAACATTGATTTTGTTTAATATATATAATCTACTTAAATTCAAAAATAATATTTTATAATATTTCTTAAAATTTATTTTATGTAATTTTATCTGAAATTTATGAAAAAAAACAATAAAAAATTATTATATTGTCATAAGAGTTTTGTTTAAATTGAGCTGATAATAAATTTGATTTTATTTATAAATATGTATTAAATTATGATTAGTTTGGTAGATCATACTAAAAAATAAATACAAATAATTTTTTTATAAAGTTTCAAAAATAAAAAGAATAAATATTTAAATAATAATATATGAATTAAATAAAAAAAGGTAAGAGTAATATATGGTAGCTTAAGAAAAAAAGAATGCTAAAATAGTTTATGGTAATTTCCAAACTTAATAGTAAAAAAAAACCCAGACATTTATCAATACAGAACACTAATTTATGCTAAATAAGCTTACGAAGCACAAGAGCCTGCCACTTAGACTCAGCGTATTCGATAATTATACATATGGACGATTTTTCCACCCTCACATTTAAATTTATTATATTAATTTTTGAACAACATATAATTTATTTCTCTTTTTATTTAAGGATTTCTTTTTTATATATATTTAATCGTTCCATTGTATGAATTGTATGATTTGTTTATTTATTTATAGAAATAAGAATATATTTTTTTTAAAAGATGGAGAGTGTCTTTAATTTCAGTACAAATTAATCCAAAATTTATCAAGCCGGAGTAAAGCAGGCCAAAGCCCATTATGGCCCAGCCCATATATATGCAATAACGTGCTATGCCTTTGCAGAAAAGCGTGCTGGTGTTGATACTTGATACCACCATTACTTTAGAAAGCGTTTCTTAGCTGAGGAACAAAAGCGCACTTCGAAAATTCGCCTAAACCCTCTGGAATTTCTTTTCCCACTAAAACCCAAACCCCTTCTCCCAAACAGCAGCTCCTAGCAGCTGTTTATCACAAACATTGGGCCAAAAGCGGTTTCCCGGAGCCAGAGCCGCCGGTGCCGGAATACCCAAAAAGAAGAAGAAAAAGAACCCGGAAATTCAAGTGCAAGAAATCCGATTAGAGTTGTGGGGATGAAATCAAGTGAATGTTGCTACATATGCAAAGCCCGGACCACATTGCTAAAAATTGCCCCAAGAAATCTGAGTAACAAGGTTCGTTTTTTCTTGCTATTGGTGTTGGGATGTGTGTTCTAAGAAAATTTGGGATTGTTGGTATGCAGTAATTTAGCTTCTTTATAATTTCTAGAATCTAATATTGGCGGCTTTGTATGTTAATGCAATTTTTAGTCAGTTGTTCAGTTAGCTGGAATTGTATGAGAAAACTAAGCCGTTATTTCATGTTCCAGGCTTCAGAGCCTTTGCACATTAGTCGTGAAGCTCGCAGACCTATTTTTTCAGATAGAAAGACCAAACTTTGTTTTCAGACGAGGTAATAATGATAATCTTGTTGTTGATATCATGTTTGTAGACCTGTTTGTTCTGCTGTCTGACAATGCAGCCACAATCTTAAGAATTGCCTTAACAGAAATTACAAGTCAACCGATTATAAATTTTGTTAGTTGTGGAAATTTATCGGTCTCCATTTTAGGTTTCATAATAGAAATGCCTCGGTTTCATAATAGAAATGCCTCGTTATTTTTTGCCTTTTGAGCTGAAAGCAACTCAGTCCAAGTCTCCAAGTCCATTAATATGGCATAGTATTTGTATGCTTTAAAATTTGGATGTTCCTACATTTTAGAGTTTTGTTTTTGGGATATTAGAGGTTTATCATGCTAATAGAGTTGCCGAATGCACATTTTTTAAGTCTTGGATTTGTCTAGACATTTATATTTTGTATGGTTGGTTTGCTACATAGGAAATTGAGTGCATGCTTTCATTAATTTGAATACGTAGTATGAACTTTACTTTTCTTGCTCGGTTGTGTTCCCTAAGGATTTTATTCATCTGAATTATTTCATAATTTAGTACATTAACTTTCATGTGTCAATTGCTTTATATGTAATGAAACTGGGCATTTGAGTAAAAATTGTCCCAAGAATACCTGTG